TCAAGTCGCTTGTGAAAGTATACAAAATCTTGATGCCTTCAATTAAGCTTTGACAACAAGTGCATTGCATGTACAAATATATATATATATATATATATATATGTATATATATAAACATAAATATATACAAATATTCATACAAGTGTAACGTAAAGAAAAGGAGAGCATGTCACATGAAACCATTAACGTCACATAGCCGAGTTAACTCGGTTGCATGTGCCCGCAAAGTCTGACAAGCGAGATGAGATGAATTGAGATGATGTGATGGGATGCGATGCGATGGTTGTCGGTTTATAAGCCGCCTCCCTTATCTCATACCAAGAAAAAGGAGCCACGAATGAAATACTTATGTAAAAGATTCTTGCGCGCTATGTAAAATACACGTTTGCTTGAATGTTTTTGGGTGCGCGATGTGTACGGTGTGCCTGGTTGCTTATGTATTTGAAAGCAACAACATCAGTCGCTGCAGTAGTAATACCTCTAAAAATTGCAAGAAGTCTAAATAGGATAAATGAATTTTTTTTTAGTGTTATTTCCTTCGTTTTCTTTTAATTTCAGATACCTTCCCTCTCTCTTTCACATTATTTTTGGTGCCTCTACCGCACTGCCTCTCTGCTACTCTCATCTTATTATTCGTTTTCTTGTTTTTATTCTTTTGATTATTTACAGTTATATTTGTTATAATTTACATTAAAATACACTACAGAAATCGCAAAGAAAAATTATGCTTATGAAAGAAGACTCTTAACCTCTTTCATTTTGCTTTTAAAATTTTTACTCTTTCCAAAAAGTGGCCACGTAACTTGAATCGATCGAAATTATATCGACGTTTCAAATTATTTACGAAGCCTTAAGATATCGGAGCATAATAACCAGAGGTTATGCAATAAAACAAAATTAGATTTTGAGGTTAATTTTCAAATCAGAAGTGGAGATAAATACATATATATAATTAAAAATGCCTTAAGGTATTGAAGCGGATCTAAGGGATCTCAAGCAATAAATCAAAAGAAAATAGCCTTTGAGAGGTTTCCAGACGCATCATGCAACATTAACGGCCCGGCCGAGGAAAAAAGTCAAGGAATGCAAAGCTAGTTTCTATGCCTAATCTTAATCTAAGGTTAGGAAAAAATGCTAAACATTCGAAAAGAATCTTCATGATAGAGTCTATGCTGAATATTAGCTTAAGAAGGTTGAGCAACACACCAAGTAAAGTAAGCCTTAGTGAGAATATGAACTAATCGAAGACATCTTAGCCAGAAAATCGATCAAACCTTGACTAGGTAAGCTGGGAAAAAAATCAATATATCTTGGGAAGAATAGAAATTGGAGGTTTATAGTGAAAGAACGCTCGCCCAGAAATTTTAGAAAGAAAATCAAGCTCTTGGCATAATACACGTTTTAATAAAGCATCGGCTAAAGGGAGAATCCTTAAAGAATACGCTGAAGAAAATAGATCTAGAAAGGAGGCTATAAAAATATGATTCAAAAAAATTCGGCTAAAAACCTCATCATATCACCGCAAAGAAAAAGTCAGAGGGGATAGGCATTAACAAGAATCCAAATGCGTAATGCAGTGTCGGAGAGCGTGAAAGCTAAATCTAAGCACTAATATATTTAGCAAGGAAGTTGTTTCCCGAGTTCAGCGTAAATTTCTTTTTCTTTTTACTTAGGGGATGTCCCCTTTAGTGTATCACAATCATGGCTAAGGAAGAACTGGATATGCGCCTAACAGATAAGTGTCTATGCCTTTACCGACTGAGAACTCACTAGAGCTGCGACCAAGTACATACAATCAAACCACACTGGGATTTGAATCTACGTACACCGGCTTGGTGGTCGCAACTTTTCTATTCAGCTTCGGTTAATGCTCTAGAAGTGTTATATCTATATATAAAGTTATATGGATGTCGGGCGCGGAATCCAGCAAATAGATTTACATGGAAATGGGTCTGGAGATAAAGCTAGGTTTATGTAAAGGTAAACACCTGAAGACGCCTTTACCGACTGAGTTCTCGCTACAGCAAACTACCGTGCGGAGATTTAAACCCGCGAACTCCGATTTGGTAGTCGCGACTATCATCTATTCAGTGGCAGGCAACGCTCCAGGAAGTGTTATTTTTATATATGGAGTTATACGCGTGGATATCGGACACGTTTACGACGGGGGCGCAATAAATAGATTTACCTGGAAATGGAACCAGAGATAAAACTATGTTTATCTAAAGATAAAGATCTAAAGGTGGATTTACCGACGTAGAAATCCCTACAGCTATGACCAAGTATGATCTACCGACCTGAGACTTGAACCCGCAAAGCGTGATTTGATATTCGGCTATGCGGCAGTCCAAAGTAATTCCTCACGCAAAAAAATAGTTCCGTGAGACCGATTGTTTTATTAAAAATTCTTCTTTAGTCTGAAAACATGTCGTAAACTTTGAGTAACCGGGACGATGTGAATGAAACTCTAATCCAAGTGCCATAACATAACTTAAAAACAGCAAATGATCAGTTCGAGAATTGTTACATCAAATGTTAAGGTTACACTTCTTTAGTTGTCGTGTCTCTTTTAATCATTAGGCATAAATAAAAGTCATGAGTGTCTCTTGCACTAAGAAATAAGCAAAAAATTCTTAGGGCCCATGAATAACTTGAAAAGCCTTATAAACAAAAACTTCCTATCATTAAGCCCTCACGCAGATGATATGAAATAGAATTCTTATCCAACTTACTCGGACGGTATCAAGTGTAGTTATCAGAAGGCAATGCTTATTGAACTAATGAATCAGTAAAGTGAAGATCAATAATAGCTAATAATAAGAGCTCAGAATGGATAACGTGAAGATAATAAGTTATACAATGCTGAAAAGCCATAAAGTTTGCACAAGAAGATATTCGAAGAAATGTAAATTCCCTTAAGTAGTTAAGTATGTCGTATAATAGTAAGATAAGTTTAAAAACTTTGCTTCATACAGTCTCTCATTGGTAGGCTTTGTTCAAAATTTGTAATATTTTCGCTTTAATTTTTTTCAGTGTAAGAAATTTGAATGAGTTCCATTTTTATTATGTGAATATTTCTTTAGATTTTTTCTGAGAAAAAGACCATAGAAATAATATGCATTCATTTGTACATACAAACGCTCACACTACATAGCAATAAACTCTGCTGATGCACTTTTAATTAATTTTAATTATAATCTTATTTTATTTTTATTACATCCACCAACGGGGTAAATTAGATTTGTAAAGTGTTTGCAAAGCGGGTAAATGCACATAAAACTCCACAAAATATTTCTTTTCTTTCTTTCAATATTATTAGAGCAATTCATTAAGTCACGGCCGTCTCGCATGTAGTACAGTATTTGTCCGTCTTTTTATTAGACAGATTTCAGCTGCATTCTTAAAAAATTTTTTACACGAGCGACTTTCATCTTAAGCTGATCTTCTGCTTTTTATTAGGGTCAATTTATTTATGCCAGCACTATTTATGTAACACTCTTTATGTTCTAAACCCCATCTTATACAAGGATGTATTAAGTACGCAACACCCAGAGGGACATGAGATAGACTTACTTTCTATTATACCGATCGATGCAAAAAGCGATTTTGAAGCTTGTCTATCCCCATGTGTGTCTTGTTTTCATCCTACAGAATCCAAATTTTTAGAGATATTTTGATGGAATTAATTACATCGACGTGTTTTGAGTCAACGATAAACGCTATTGGAAATGATCCGAAATGAACCACTTTTATGAATCGCTGTATTGGGATGTGCGGTATTGAGAGATGAAAAGTGACCGAATATAGTTTTTTTGCTTGTTCGATAGTATGACTATGCTCGAACTTCGGGTACGTGAAGCTTCTCGGACTGCCCTAAATTTGTGAATGAAATAAGTGCTTTCATGCAACCGAAAATAAATACAATGCAAGATTTTCATGCTCCTGCAGTATGTTTCCTTCTTTTTTTAACGATTAGTCGCTGAAGGGAAAGAGAGTTATATGAATAGTGGTAGATGAGAGGGAAAGAGCGAGCAGTTGCAGCGGTAGCAGTAGTAGTAGTAGTAATAGTAGCAGAGGAGTGTTGAGAAACTGCTCTAGAGTAAGGAATCTTCTTGCAACGTGCACGCTACTCCGATGCAACGGGAAAATATTGGAATAATTTTATAATTGAAAACTGATTTTTGATGCTTGTATCTGCAGAATACTTTTGATGAAAATATCTATAGAAAAGCATGGCACAAAACTTCTCATGCTGATGTTCAAGTGTATCAAGATTACTTAACATGCTTCAATCGCCACCGTATTAAGACCTGCATAAAACGCAATTATGAATATCTGCCTTGATGCTCTGTCCAACACCGGAGAATTGTGGAATGTGATCTACTTTTGGGCGATTAAAGGTGGTGTAAGTGGCTAGTGTGAAGTACATCATTTTATTATACACAATCAAATATATTTTCTTCATTTTCCCGTAATTTATAGTAAAAATGCCCAGATCACTCAAAATAGTCGGTAAAATTCACTTCCTTCACACATTTTCTCCTTTACTCGGGTTGAGAAAAGTATCATATTCGTTCTGTGGCAAACCTTTGGCACTTTGTTGTGATAAAAAATAGGTTTATCGCTACTTCGATGGCTCGATATTAATATTAGTTTTGGGAATGGAAAAAAAAATATTTAAGAAAAATAGAATTAGCATAGCTTAACAGTTGAACGTTATTGTCCATCCTTTGAGATCATTTCATTGACGTTATTAAGTAAATGGAAATAGAACTGATATAAACCAAAGACAAAGAAATTAAAAAAAGAGAAAATAATATCTAATAAATGATTGTGGCGGAGAAGAGTAATGTCATTAAACTGTTTTCTGATTTTATACTAATTTCAATAGCATTACCTACGAGAATTTAATTGTTTTAAAAAATATTCAAAGAAAAAACGAAAAATTTATAGAAAACCTTTTTGTCGAAAAGAAAAAAAATTCTTTTTTGAAAAGAGAAGAAAACTAAAATAAAAGAATAAACGAAAATGCCTGATCAGCCTGTCGTTTTGCAAAAACGCTTTCGCCACGAAGAAGAGGAAGAAAGGAAATACGAGAAAGAAGATAATTTAGCGAAAAAGTTATTTAACGTCGAGGAAGGGCAGCTATGCGGACGTACGCCGTTCAGTTGGTTTCTCATATTTCTGTTTATTATCATCTTTTGGATTTGTATTGTCTTCTATTGGTCATTACTTTATTATGTGTTCGCTTCGGGACTTTCGGGTGAATATCCTCGATATTTTATGGATCAACCCGGTTTAAGTTTTGAACCGTGCATTATTGAAAAAGGCGAAAAGAGGATTGAATATAGCGAGGGTAGCGAAAAACACATCGATTTGTATACGGAAAAGATATTTAAAAGTCTGGCCAAATATGGCGAAGTACCACCAAATCGTTTTGGTTTATGCACTGAAGAATCTGATTTCGGTTACCATCATTTGCAGCCGTGCTTCTTTTTAAAAGTGAATAAGGTTATTGGATTTAAGATTGATGCCTACAAGACGGGTGCAGATATGCCGAAAGAAGCTCCCGAAGCTCTAAGAACGTATGCCGATGAATTAAGCAGCGAAAGTACTATGAAAAAAATCTGGATATCATGTACAGCTGATCCCCCGCTACAATTCTTACACTTCCCGGCGCCATATGTTGAGGATAAGGATATTGAATTAAATAGTGGAACATTTTATGTTCCAAAAGATGAATCGCAATTAGTCGTCGAAAACCTTATTGAAGAAGAAAAACAGATTTCTCGAGAAAATTCAAACTATTATAATCTAAATGATTTTAAACGAATAATAGCAGTCCGTCCCTCTAATCTGACTCATAATACAAATCATAGTATTAAATGTCAAATGTGGGCGAAAAATATCGTTCAAGAGACTCAATCGACCAACTCATTAATGAGTCGTGGTTATATACGTTTCCGTTTGGGAGTAAAGGCCCCCGGTACTCATTTATGAAAAGATGGCAATAAATGAAAATCATGGAATGGAAAACTCAGGCCTAACTTATTGATTCACATTTTCTTCATTGTTTATTTAGAAACTCTCTTATTCATAGGTACAATTATTAAAGCAGAATAGCAGCGAGAATTAGAAAAACAAGGAAATAAATAGATAAGAAAGCGGTCTATGTCAAGTGGCTATCAGAATGTAAAACTAATTTTGAATTCAATTTTAACGCAGAATATCCAAAAATGCATCAAATCATAAGTAATACGGAAGTAATTAAGCTTTGTGCTTGGAGGAAATGAAAAAATTCGACGCATTTCCGCCAGACTCGAAAGCTATTGTTTTCCCATCGTTGTTGCCATTCTGCCAACATGCTGTAATTTCATTCGCCAGTAGTTCGTTCTTCTTTACCACTATGGATACATAATTGTTACTTCAATTCTACCTCGATCCATAATATTCCTGCCAAAACAGTTGACGCTGCCTTTGAAACCGTACGCTGGGCAGATATCATTCTCAACCGTGCACAGCCTTTGAACCGATTCCAGCTTTCGTAGAAGACGTTTACTTCGTAATACTTTCTCTGCCCAAATGTGTGCCGAATACATCATTCGCGCGTAGACTACGCTGAATCTAAGTTTTCGTCTCGTCGTTTGACAAGGTTAAACTGCTGTTTGGAAAAGCCGCCCCAGCTGATTTTGTAATCTTAATAACATCACTCTTTCGAAAGTGCCGATGTTATCCAGGAGGATAACGGGCTACTTAATGGCTTACTGGGCTTTGTAGGCCCAGACTAGAAGCTGGCTTTTCCACAACTGGCCAGTCTAAGGCACAAGTATGTATTATCGGGTAAATCCATAATGCCATAAGTTGCCAACCAATTGTATTATTTCGTTTGGTTTTCCCTCAGGCCTCGTAGTTTTCTTCTTTTTTTTTTGAACGCTCGACACGTCAACTATATTTTTTCCACTGTAACCATATTCCCAGGCAAGACTCCTGTTAACTCTATTGTAGCCCCAGATTGATGCTTGGTAGTTGAGAATAGCTCTTCTACGATTATTTACGCAGTATATGTAACTCTCTGTATAGGCTTTCTTTGATTATCGTTTTGTGCGACAGGCCCCACGAATCGTTATTTATATCCTCACATCTCAGTTTATCGTTTTTTATTGTTACACCGAGAGACTTCATCGCATTTCTCTAAGACTCCAGATGATTTGCATTCCCTTCGCTTTTAGATACTCCGACCTCGAATTGTTTATTTCTTCATTCCCTCAATATGATGGTGTCTATCTTCTGTTAGAACCACTAATTTTTTGCATTCCTATCTCACTTCTATGTGTCAATGTGTGGCTGGATATAATCCGCAATAGCATGTAGATCTTCTTTCTGACAAGATTTAGTATATCTATATATCTATATATCTATTTCTGCAATTATAAACCAAATGAATCTGTACTCCGCATATCCTCAACAATCTCAACTAAGGGCCTTTATAGGCCTTACGAAAGTTGCAACTTTATACATGCCATAGAAATTTTTTTTCATAAGTTGTTCGTTAGAATTTTAAAGGAAAAAAAAAACAAAAACAAAAGAAGAGATTATTTTTCAAGCATTTTAGATACTTAACTATTTGTATTACATTTATTTCAGTTCATTAATATTAAATTGACCTTTATTTTCAAAAAAAAAAAAAAATTCTCATAACTTTGGAAACACTGTACTAATATGTACTTTAGTTTCATGCAAATTTCTTCCGCCCACTCGCCCTAGAGAAGAATTTAATGCTAATGAGTGCAAACGTAGTTGCATATAATATGTTTAAGAATTTAAAAGCCAGATATTTGTTTAGTTGCCAAGTAAGTAAAAATAACAGCAACAACAACAACAACAACAACCAAATAAACAAAAAAATTTACTTAAGTTATAGAAAGAGAGAGAAACTAAAAATTAAATAAAATAAAAATAAAAAAAAAAAACTCTCAAGTAACTTGAAAAGTAAACGTTGCAGGTAGAGAATAGAATCGCTTGGAAATTATGCTTTTAAATTATGCAGAAGAGGACAACGAAAATCAAGTTGATGAAGAGGTTAAGGATAATGGAGGACTATATTGTGGGTAAAAAGGGGAAAAATCTATTCCCGCCGCATGTAGGAAATTCACTCTAGTCCTCCAAACTAAGTCCGCTGCCGATGCTGATGCTGATGTTTTGCTGCTTTCGTTACTCTTGAGTTGCTGCACACATTAATTAATTAAAAAAAATAAAAATAAAAAAAAGAAGAAAAAATAAAAAAAGAAAAGAAATAAAACAAAAAATACAAAACAAATTCAAAGATGACTTTTAGGCTTCAAGACATGAGTAGAACGGCAATCGGGTAGCTTTAAAAGGAAGAGTAGCAAATAGCAAATGAATGCAACCGGATGCAAAGATTTTTTTTTTATTTTTTTTTATTTTTGTTTTGTTCAGTTTTCGCATAGTAGGACGCCGAGGTTTGAGGTGAAGATGCCAAGAGTTGCTCTAGTGGCAATAGAAGCGGTAATACCCACAAAATGTTTTATTAAAATTAAAACAAATAATGCATACACTCACACCCTCACTCACTTACTCACTTCTCAACTCAAACACTCGCATTTATAAGCAACAACAATTACGTGCAGAGAAAGAAGAAATTCGTTAAACGTGAAATAAATTTGTAGGAAAAGAATTGCATTAAATGAAAGAACTCGTGGCTGACCAGCTTAAGCGGACATTAAAAAAAAATAATAATAAAAAAAAAAAACAACAACAAGAACAAGAACAACAAAGAGGCAGATAAAGAAAGGAAACAAAAACCTACTCGCTAACCCCCAGTGGGAGGAAATGCAAAGAGTTTACTATAGCGCACATAAAACGTGTACGTACACGTATACGGCTACTCTCCCCCATTTGGCTTTCCAAAGGGACTTATTATAGAAACACAAATAACAGAAAGTTTACCGCCCTTTGTCAAGGTTGGAGTCACAATACCGAGTACTTTGGCGTGTGTGTGTGTGTGTGTGTTTCCCGAGAACAATGTGCCATTAGACTGCAACTTATCTGCAAATGCATCGTTACTGATGCATCACTCAATGACTAACATTTACTTGGACATGGATCAAAAGTTTGTCCAAAGGCAAAAACAAGTATAAAACTTATTTTTACTTTAGGGCCAACTAGAGATATTTAGCATCTCGAGCAAATCTATGCAAACTACTAAGGTTTCTGTCACGAAACTATTTTCACAAAATGCTTTTGGACATAATTTATCTTAATAATATATCTATAATATATCTAAATATTATAGCCAGACAAAATCGGCCGTTAAATACCCTATACAAATTCATAAGAACTTCTTAGAAATAGAAAAATGTACAAACAGTTGTATTATAGATGTTCATCCCTTGTATTTGCGTCTCATGCCTTGAACACAAAAGCGTGCGGGTAGACACCAGAAGAAGAGATAGACAAATAAGCTTAAATCTATTCGGCAAATTATTCTGAATTGATTTTTATAATAAAACGTGGATATCCTAATTCATATAATCCACAATTTCTTCACCGTTCGTTTGCTGGCTCATCACCGACATGTCATTCAAATGTCTCTTAACTGACAAAAGTTTTTTCAGTTAATATTAAGTATGTCCAAAGCAATTCAAATAAAATATTATTCTGTATCTAAACAACTTATAAGTGGACCACACTCAAAAGCATTATCTTACGTTTGCTTTTCTTCACAATTTACGCAAGTGAAACTAGGGAAACACCAGCAGGATTTGCCGTCGGCTTTAAAAAGGCTTCAGATCGCCAGAGAAATCAAGCTTGCAAGCTCTAAATTTTTTAAAGCTTTGCGGCTCTGAAAGCCTTCAGAAGTTGTCAACTCTGAATGGTTGGTTTCAAGAGCTTTATAGTTTTAAAATTTTCATCCACTTCAAAGATTTGACGAGCTTTTAAGCGCTGAAACTTTAACCGGCTTGAAGAGAAAACTTGAAATCTCTGAAATCTTCTTCGCCTTGCTGAACTTTAAAATCCTAAAATCTTCGAAGGTTTGAAGAGTATTTATTAAAACTCTAAAGCATCGTCTTGCAAATCTTTAAATCTCTGAAATCTCTATCGGCTGCCAGAGCTTAAAATCTCGGAGATCTTCAAAAGCCAAAAGAGCTTTAGAGTTTGAAAGGCTTAAAATATTTGAAAAAAGCTTTAAACCTGTAAAAGCTTGAAAGGTTTGAAGAGCATTAAACTCTTGAAAATTTGAAGACATCCTTGAAAGCGCTGAAATGAAAATTTTAAAAAGCTATTGAATTTTCTTAAAAATTAAATATTTGGTAGGAATATATATATATATAACTTAATCTCTTACTATTCGCTAGCACTTATTTTCTTAAAATCTTTAATATTCAAACAGATTATCAAAGAAATATTTTTTGTCGCTTTCAAAACCAAATAAACGTATGAATATAAAAAATTGTAATCTTTCTAATGAAATGTTGCAAATTATAAGCAACAGCAACTAATCAGTAACAGCACAATAATAAATAACACGAAAAAAAGATGACTAATAAGCATAAAATGCATATATTTCGAAAAAAAAAATAAAAAAAAACAAACAAGAAAACGCAGGCCTAACAACAAAATTTATTTGAAACAATCGTATGCACATACGGTATATGTGCACCCGTAAGTATGTATTATGATGAAGGCTGTAAGGTTGAGGAGGGATTTTGATAATGGTAGTGAAAAGCAATTCTTTTTAATTGAAAACTTTTCTCTTGTTGTTGTTGTTGTTTTTGTTGCAGTTGTTGTCGTCGTCATCGTTGTTGCTGTTGTTATTTATCTATGTTATATATGCATATTGCCAAGCGATTTCGGTTAACTTGAGAGATGTATTATAGAAATGCATTTTTTCTATACGAATGGAGGCCGTTTTTGTATCGGCAAATAAGCAAATGTATGCAGTAGATGAGATTAAGTGAGGCAGAGATGAGCAGACAATAAGAGACGATTGTAACATATACACATATATATATAGTTACCAACGCTAACGAATATGGTTTGAGTCAAGCAAAGTAGAGATATAGCCCAGTAAGGCGGCATAGGAAATAAAACAGAAACATATATAAAAATATATGTGCGTGTATGGATATATAGATTGCAACTTTTTTGCACTCTTAGTTAAAACTCGTAATGCAACTTATCTTTTAGCCATTACAAACATAGATACGTACCCATATATAAGCACAACAACATATGCGTATCTATGCTATATTTATAAGCTCTTATATACACGCCTTAGCTTATGAACACTTGCCAACAATGTGCATTATTCAACTTAGACACAAATATATATATATATATATATATGTATATATATGAGCAAACACAAATGAACAGGCCATACACTCTTACTTGCACTGTTAAGCATTTATAGTAACGGATAATAAAGACTTTAGGCACATATATCAATGATTGCCTTACTGCTGCTTAGCGGGTAAGCAAGCGGTGTTGGTTGGCCGGGGCTAAAACAGAAATAGGTAAAAGACGTAAATAGACAACAAAAAAAATATTGAAATAGTCAAAATCCATATATAAACCATTACATTAAACGCCATTATATATACACACACACACACACATATATATATATATATACATACATACATACATACACTGAAACGCATTCAATGCACTTTCATAGATGATGAGCAAACAAACAACAAGCAATCCTTCTCTACACATATGGGTAAGCATATGCCTGTATGCGTATGAGTGTAGACGTGCGTGTATATGTTAGTTTATATGTTAAAAACAAATTGAAAAAAGGAAAGTTGAAATTTTTTTTTTGCTTTTTTATATTTTGTTGCCAACAATTTTTCCAGTACAAGCAGATATTTGTTTATATGCATTTACATACGTGTGTGTGTGTGTGTGTGTGAGTTTTCGGGTAAGTGTTTTATTTTTTATTACTGAAAGATGCATTAAGTCCGCAATGCAGCCAATATTGCAATACAATGCCAACACATACTTGCACTTGATTGTGTGTAAGTATAAGTATACATATATATATATGTGTGTGTTTGTGTGTAAAATATCCTTTGGCCCAAAAGTTTCGCAAGAGCTCAACTCGTAAGTACTAGTAATGGCTGTAATGGTGTATAAAGCCATACAATATATATATAGAGAAGAGATTGGCGACGGGTAGCGAGAAGAAGGGGCTAGGAAAAGATAGTCTCGACTTTTTATGAGTTTGATTTGCAAAATTGCAAATTGTTGGCTTTCTAGTGTTTGCATCCAAGCAAATCCTTCAATTTTTATATTTATTTTTTCTTTTCATTTTTTTTTTTTTTACATTTCGGTATTATGCGTGGCCATGTGTTTCTGTGTATGTGTGTGTGTGTATGAGTAATGTTTTTCATATCCTTATTTATTTACAAATGCTTGCCTCTATCTTACTCCATACGCGCCTCCGTATGCTGACTTGTATTGTTTGATTTTATTGTTGTTATATTGCAATCTTGGGTGGTAAGTCCGTTCGTACATACGCTTTTACCCATTCGACTGACTTTGGTTCCCCCCCCAGATTTCGTTATCTTTTACTTTGGCCACAAATGCATTTGCTTACAAAAAAACCTACACAAACAACAATAACAACAACAAAAGCAATCAAATTGCATTTACTGCAATGCTCGCCTGTCGTACTTACTGCTCGCAACATGTCCGCGTCTGAATGGTATGAGTCTTCCAAATGCAAACTTATTCTTTGATTGCAATTTCTTCCTTTGCATGTTTCATTTGTCGTTTTTTTTTATAAATTTATTTTTTGCTTTTTTTTTATTTTTTTGTTTTTTTTT